AACAAAGTAACTTGTGTGTGACAATGCATGTGAAGTTTTTTAAGGATTTTCCGTTGTTTTCCAGCTTGGAAATGTAGGGTGACTTGTACAATTCCTTCTTATTTTGTATCATTGTTTGTAGCTGTTGGGCGATGGTGTTTTGTGCTCTTTCTATTTTTGTAGACTGGGTTCATTTTATTTTGCAATGTACTAGGATTTTTTTTAATTTATTTTTTTAAAGAAGGTTTAAAGGGTTACTCTAATCACCGTGATCAGTGTTTTGAAGTGGTTATGGTTCACGGTATCTGGGCACAGAGGTAAAGCACTTTGCTCCCCCTCCGGCAGTGTCAGTAGCCATGAACTTTAGTTGTGGGCTGTTAATGGGAATGTTGAGCATAGTCCATCGTCATCACACATAGCATGACAAGTGGTGGCACGCCCCCTCTGTATCGCCCAAATTCCTCCCTCAGCCCATCCTGTGGAATGCCCCTCACACTGCAACAATGACGAGTGATGTCACTGAAGGTAAATCGAGCTCCAGGGATAACTTGGCCTCGAATTGTAAAGTTTTCTTTTTTCTCTTTTTAACCCCTTCAAGACCGATGACTGTTCAGGACTGTCATCGGAAACATCCCATTGAGGACCGATGACGTTCCTGAACCGTCATAATGGAAATATTTACTTACCCGATCACCGCCGTTCCCCCGCCAGCGATCGGTGTTGCTCCCGGTCTGGGGGGACTGCCTTACAGCCCAGACAGTCCCCCCTCGGCGAATTAGGTCCCAGCGGCCAAGTGATCGCTCTAACAGATATTGATTGTATGTATCTACAGGCTTGGAAGCACCCGGGTAATATTACTCCTTGTATACATTTTTTGGAGGATGAGTGCCAGAGTTTGTCCTTTTATTTATATATATAATTTCATAACTATGCACGTACACTTCAAATATATAAATATGTGTGTGTATATATTTAAATTCTGCGTGCATATTTATGTAATTAATTTTATTGAATGCAATTTGAGGGACCTGCCTGGCAACCCAGGATGAAAGTCCAGAAAATTTAATTTACTAGCACTATATTTAACCCTGTAACTTTCCGTGACACCTTAAAACCTGTAAATGTGTGGTACTATTTTACTCTGGAGACTTTGCTGAACACAAATATTAGTGTTTCAAAACAGTAAAACATATCACAGCGATGATATTGTCACTGAAAGTGACGTGTTTTTTGAATTTTTCACACACAAATGGCCCTTTCACTGATGATATTGTTGTGATACATGTTTTGAAACACTAATATTTGTGCTCAGCAAAGTCTCCCGAGTATAACAGTACCCCTCATGTAAAGGTTTTATGGTGTCTTTGAAAGTTACAGGGTCACATATAAGGGTCAAATGTTTTTACATTGAAAATTTCCAGGTTGGTTATGTTGCCTTTGGGAGTGTATGGTAGCCCAGGAATGAGAATTACCCCCATGTTGGCATACCATGGCATACCATTTGCAAAAGAAGACAACCCAAGGTATTGCAAATTGGGTATGTTCAGTCTTTTTTAGTACCCACTTGGTCATAAACACTGGCCAAAGTTAGCGTTCATAATTGTCTTTTTTTTTAACACACAAACATATATAAATGCTAATTTTGCCCAGTGTTTGTGACTAATTGGATACTAAAAAATACTGGACATACCCCATATTGAAAACCCTGGGTTGTCTACTTTAAAAATATATGTACATGTGAGGTGTGATTTCAGAGATTTATGTCAGATAACCGTGTTACAATGTCACTGTTAATACATTTTAAGAATATATATTTTGAAACAGAAATGTCCTACTTGTACTTATAGCCCTATAACTTGCAAAAAAGCATGGAAACACTGGGTGTTTTTAAACTCAGGACAATATTTTGAATCCATTTAGCAGTTTTTTTTTCCATTAGCTTTTGTAGATAAGCAAAAGATTTTTCAAGTAAAAAGTCACCATATTTTTTTTTTAAGTAAATTATATGACTTGAAACAAATAATAGTATGTAAAGAAAGCCCTTCTAGTCCTAAAAAAATATATAATTTGTATGGAAACCGTAAATGAGAGACGGAAATTACAGCTAAACTCAAACACGAGAAAAGTGTTAATACAGCTCTGGTCCTTAATGTACAACATGGCCAAAACAGTGCGGTCCTGAAGGGGTAAAAGGTGGCACAGTGCAGGTAAGGGGTAGCCCAACCAAAATCACCCTTTAAGTTCTATATCACTGAATACTGATGAATAATATCAGATGTTATTGGACACACTGAATACTGTTACTCTATTGGGCTCAAACTGTGGCGACCGTTGCTAGGTGACACAAAGGCCAGCTGCTTTAGCCCAAGAGTAATATGCATGGCCCCACCCACATTTAGTAAGACACGCCACATGCCCAATGCTAAAACTAACTCGTTCTATAAATTACATTGTGACAGCAGAACTTTTAATGAATTCTGAAAAATTATCTGCTGTATTAATGCCCGCACCTGCTATATTAACCCCCGCACCATGCTCTATTAACCCCCGCACCGTGCTGTATTAACCAATACCCCGACACAGATTCATATAACTACCTCCAAACGTGGTGCAATAAAATGGCACGGTCACTAATTCTAGAACTGGAATTATTTTCTCTCTGTATTACAGAGGCCTCGGGTTTCTAACTCAGATTCCAGATTTTATGGCCCCTATTTAGGCTCAGGACCAGGTCAGTCACCTCTCCCTCTTCCCCCAGAATCATTGGAACTTATTTTCTAACAGTTGAACATCTTCAAGTTTCACAATCCAATAGTAAAGGAGGAGACTATATTTAAAAGAAGAAAAACTACCACAACAAGGGGACATAGTCTTAAATTAGAGGGACAAAGGTTTAAAAATAATATCAGGAAGTATTACTTTACTGAGAGGGTAGTGGATGCATGGAATAGCCTTCCAGCTGAAGTGGTAGAGGTTAACACAGTAAAGGAGTTTAAGAATGCATGGGATAGGCATAAGGCTATCCTAACTATAAGATAAGGCTAGGGACTAATGAAAGTTTTTAGAAAATTGGGCAGACTAGATGGGCCGAATGGTTCTTATCTGCCGTCACATTCTATGTTTCTATGTTTCTATAAGATTTCTATCCAAATTTCTATTCCAGCACTCCACGCTTTCTGCTTGAATTCTTTCTCCAATAACCACGTCTTGTTCTAGTAAGCTGTTCTCTGTTCTATCTTCGGTGAACAAGCGGTCTCTGAACATATTTCTCCTTTTATTTGCAGGTTACTATTCGTGGAGAAACCCCGGAAGAGGCTCCTGGTTTGTACAAGCTCTCTGCAGTGTCCTTAGTGAACATGGGAAAGAATTGGAGATCATGCAGATTCTGACCAGAGTCAATTTTATGGTGGCTACTAGCTTCGAGTCATGGTCTGATGACCCACGCTTCAGTGAGAAAAAGCAGATTCCATGTGTGGTCTCTATGCTGACCAAAGAACTGTATTTCTAAACACTCTCTCTCTTTTTCAAGTCAAGCTAAATTTTATTTTTTTAAACCAAACCGTGCATATCAGACTTGTATCATTTCTACCAAAATCAGGGAAAGGACGAGTTGAATTATTTTACCCATTGCCTCTGGCAGTCTCTCTTTGTTTGTGTGGTGTGCCCCACTGAAATGTTGTATTTGGCATGTGATGAGGAACCAGTTATATTTCTGTGTATATTGTGGGGAAAAACACAAAAGGGAAACAGAAACACCCATATAATAGGACTGAGCTATGTTTCCAGTAACCAGTCACCACACATGGTGTTGAAGCCGATTGGTTGCTGTTTATTAAGATCATGACAGAGGCACCTTGTATTTTAACCAGAAATAACACTACAATGCCCTTCCGGTGCTTTGTAAAAGATCTGCAGGAATACAAGAAAAACATGTTACAGTCTGCAGAAAATATTGGCAATTATACAATATGGTTTCTATTGCTCAGTATTTAAACAATGGCGTGCAACTTGTTGTGACTTTCAGAGATATTTACCCATTATTGTATTTGTGTATTATTTTACTAGATTGCAGGCTGTTATCATTATGGTTGGGATGTTATAGAATTGGTTTCTGTAAAGCTTGTTGCTTCTCAGCTATGTAGAAAAACCTCCTCCTTAAACCCTTCACCCCCCAACCTTCCTCCTTGTCATTGTGTTCCATTCAGAGGGCATTCTATAAAGTGATGGCTGACTACTGTCCTTGTTGTGTTCCATCCACAGGGAATGTAATAGAGTGATGTAATTGGTGTTGTGTTCCATTCAGAGGGCATTCTATAAAGTGATGGCTGGCCTCCGTCCTTGGCGTTTTGTTCCATTCAGAGGGCATTCTATAGAGTGATGGCTGGCCTCTGTCCTTGGCGTTTTGTTCCATTCAGAGGGCATTCTATAGAGTGATGGCTGGTCTCTGTCCTTAGCATTGTGTTCCATCCACAGGGCATTCTATAGAGTGATGGCTGGTCTCTGTCGTGGCATTGTGTTCCATCCACAGGGCATTCTATAGAGTGATGGCTGGTCTCTTTTGTGGCATTGTGTTCCATTGAGAGGGCATTCTATAGAGTGATGGCTGGTCTCTGTTGTGGCATTGTGTTCCATTGAGAGGGCATTCTATAGAGTGATGGCTGGTCTCTGTCCTTAGCATTGTGTTCTATCCACAAAGGATTCTATAGAGTGATGGTTGACCTCTGTCCTTGGCGTTGTGTTCCATCCAGAGGGCATTCTATAGAATGATGGCTGGCATCTGTCGTGTCGTTGTGTTCCATTCAGAGGGCATGCTATAGAGTGATGTCCTTGGCGTTGTGTTCCATTCAGAGGGCATTCTATAAAGTGATGGCTGACCTCTGTTGTGGCGCTGTGTTCCATTCAGAGGGCATTCTATAAAGTGATGGCTGACCTCTGTTGTGGCATTGTGTTCCATCCACAGGGCATTCTATAGAGTGATGGCTGGTCTCTGTCGTGTCGTTGTGTTCCATCCAGAGGGCATTCTATAGAATGATGGCTGGCATCTGTCGTGTCGTTGTGTTCCATTCAGAGGGCATTCTATAGAGTGATGTCCTTGGCGTTGTGTTCCATTCAGAGGGCATGCTATAGAGGGATGTCCTTGGCATTGTGTTCCATTCAGAGGGCATTCTATAGAATGATGGCTGGCATCTGTTGTGGCGCTGTGTTCCATTCAGAGGGCATGCTATAGAGTGATGTCCTTGGCGTTGTGTTCCATTCAGAGGGCATGCTATAAAGTGATGGCTGACCTCTGTCCTTGGCGTTGTGTTCCATCCAGAGGGCATTCTATAGAATGATGGCTGGCATCTGTCGTGTCGTTGTGTTCCATTCAGAGGGCATGCTATAGAGTGATGTCCTTGGCGTTGTGTTCCATTCAGAGGGCATTCTATAAAGTGATGGCTGACCTCTGTTGTGGCGCTGTGTTCCATTCAGAGGGCATTCTATAAAGTGATGGCTGACCTCTGTTGTGGCATTGTGTTCCATCCACAGGGCATTCTATAGAGTGATGGCTGGTCTCTGTCGTGTCGTTGTGTTCCATCCAGAGGGCATTCTATAGAATGATGGCTGGCATCTGTCCTGTCGTTGTGTTCCATTCAGAGGGCATGCTATAGAGTGATGTCCTTGGCGTTGTGTTCCATTCAGAGGGCATTCTATAAAGTGATGGCTGACCTCTGTTGTGGCATTGTGTTCCATCCACAGGGCATTCTATAGAGTGATGGCTGGTCTCTGTCGTGTCGTTGTGTTCCATTCAGAGGGCATTCTATAGAGTGATGGCTGGCATCTGTCGAGTCGTTGTGTTCCATTCAGAGGGCATTCTATAGAGTGATGTCCTTGGCATTGTGTTCCATTCAGAGGGCATTCTATAAAGTGATGGCTGACCTCTGTTGTGGCGCTGTGTTCCATTCAGAGGGCATTCTATAGAGTGATGTCCTTGGCGTTGTGTTCCATTCAGAGGGCATTCTATAGAGTGATGTCCTTGGTGTTGTGTTCCATTCAGAGGGCATGCTATAGAGTGATGTCCTTGGCATTGTGTTCCGTTCAGAGGGCATTCTATAAAGTGATGGCTGACCTCTGTTGTGGCGCTGTGTTCCATTCAGAGGGCATTCTATAGAGTGATGGCTGGTCTCTGTCGTGTCGTTGTGTTCCATTCAGAGGGCATTCTATAGAGTGATGTCCTTGGCATTGTGTTCCATTCAGAGGGCATTCTATAAAGTGATGGCTGACCTCTGTTGTGGCGCTGTGTTCCATTCAGAGGGCATTCTATAGAGTGATGGCTGAATATGGACAGAATGGCATTTTATCTTTTTCAGCAGTAGTATAGAATTTATTTGTTTTTGTTATGTCTTCCAAAATACAAGTTTTGTATAAGTTAGAGTATTTTTCTACCATAACATTATTAAGTCAAATAATAGAATCCAGTTACATTCTCTATTTCCACTGTAGACCCTTCAATAATTCTACAAATCATGCTGCGTTTATTCAATAAAAAGCATTTTGTAAATCCTACCCAGTGATTACTTATCATATGCAGGTCATCACAATCTGTAAAATACATTGTGAGTCTTTTAATCCTAAAACCCATATTCACTGACTAAAATCCAACTGTTAAGCCCCACTTGCATTGCTCCAGTGCTGTTCTCCACCCAATGAAGAAACTGAGCTCACACTTGCCATCTATGTACCCAAATACATACATTACTTAAAGGGACACTATAGTTACCTGAACAACTTTAGCTTAATGAAGGAGTTTTGGTGTATAGAACATGCCCCTGCAGCCTCACTTAGCTAAAGTAATTTAGGTGACTATAGTGTTCCTTTAAATAGTCGATTAGCAAAACTGCTTGTTTCCAAAAATGTCACAACAAGTTTGGCTGTTTTACTGTTTTATTAAACCTTCTATGTGACAAGATGAGATTTCTGCAGATTCATTAAATATGTCGGATCCCATACACAACATACCATTTAATAAAAAAATGTAATTGTGAAATTTGATATTACATATATACATTTATATTAAGGTGCAGTTATTATTGCATGACATTGACTGTTCTCTGACATTTAAATGCTTGCTACTTATCCTTCTTTTAAAAATAAATAAATAAATAAAAATAAAAAACCTTCAGTATTTCACCAAAGAACATGTAATGGTACAAAGTTAACAGCAGTGGAAAATAATTGCCATTATCACGTCCTCATCACATGGCCTACACCTAAACCTTTCTTTATTTTACATTATTTTTGCTAGGGTTTGTTCATGTGAATTCTGTCCATAATATCCACGCTGAGATATGTCCGGGGGTTTGTGTAACACATTACAGTGGGATTTTCAAAGATTAGCTCCCATCATTAACTGTTTTTAAGTGTCCTTAATAGTCAAGATAACATTATCAAATTATTTAATCAGGAAAGATACATCTAACTTGTGACTGGTTTCCAAGTATATCCTGTGTCTCGATCTTATTGCCCAACTCAATGCTATACGTTAAATCGATCTTGGTAAAAATGCTGAACTCGCCTTCACTGAACCTGTGACGGAGATTTAAAAAAAAAAAAAACCCACAAAACTGGAAGTTCTGGTTAGTTAAAAATAGCTTGAGCTTTTTAAAGTGTATAACTGCCCATTTTAATTGTTATTTGTGTCTGTGTGTGAATTTGCATAATATTATATTCAGGTAAATATTCTTATCTCAGGTTCCCCGATATATTGTATGATTGGTGAGGGGAAGATTTCTGTTGATGCTCTGTAAAAGCGTCTGTTGTTCTATGATAGAATGTCCTGTTTATGAAGTACTGTTGCTGTGTCAATAAAACCTCTCAGTTCACCGCAAGCTTGGCGGGGATCTGATTGATAAAATACTTTGCTGGTTTTTATTTCAATCAATATTATTGCCATCAAAGCCTTTCGACCCCAATGCTATAGAAGTCGCTGTTACAGAAATGTTATTGATTGATAAAGAAAATAAGGGATAAAAAATAAATGGAAAAATATCCTCAGCCAGTCCATTCAATTTAATTCATTACTCATCATGTTTTTTTATATATTTGATTATTAGAAAGTGCTTATGACACATGATTCAGCTCACTTTAAATGATGCTGCTACGGTTGGAATTGGGGTGTGCTTGACTTGCCCCGTGTTCTTACAAATATGTGTTACAAGGATCTACCCTGTGCTGTTATGTTGTGCATCATTATAACGTGTTCTATAATAGCATTGTTCTCTATTAAATAAAGACCTATTCTAGTGTCTCTTTAAAATCAATCTTTGTCGGCATTTTAACAAAAATTACAGCATTTATGGGTCCTTGGAAAAACTGCATCAAATGTCATTGCTTCATGCAGCGAATCTGGCTAATTCTTCAGTCACTTTAAGATTTTCAATAGACCTAGAAATAAAATAGAAATTTTCTGTTGAATTGAATGTAGCCGGATTAATTTAAAAAAAAGTGAAAATAAAAAAAATTTACATTTCTTTGTAGCCATGTTTTTTTTCAAAGCTTATATTTTTGGAGTTTGTAGCTGATAGGTCCACCTCCCAGTTCACAAAATGTGCACCTCAACTGTACGCAGGAAATAACCTGTAAATTTCCAAATTCGGGAGAAACCTGACACTTTTCAACATAAAATTCAAATCATGTCTAGCATTTGCAAGCACAGATTGTGAGATAGGGGCTTATTCATGGAGCGCAGGATTTTAGGGAATGGAAGTTGAATTTACAACATATAGACAACAAACCTGCTTTCAATAGAGACATTTAGCAGCTAAACACTGGGATCAAGTAAGAAGATAGAGGAGAGAGTTCAGAAAATATCTGCGTTCTGCCTCTTTCACTCTCTGGGCGCCCCGTAATAATTAGACATCCATCTTACTTGTCCAATTCACCATGTGTTACTCTTTAGAGATTAGTCCCAATGACTTGACAAGTGAGGTTCTGGAGGGGTTAAGCGAGTAACAAACAGCATAAAAAAAAAACTGAAGAAATGTTTTTGTGCAGGTTTTGCTTCCGCCCAAGCATAGGAATGCAGGATCTCAAAGGGGAGATCTTCGCCCCCAGAACCTCCCCGAGATGCTTTGGCAGGACCGCCCTGAAGGTCACAACCACCCGACGGGGGGAAAACAACCTAAGCATACACGCGCCAGCACTCCCATCCTCCATCTCACACTAGAGCCGTAATCTCTCGCAGTAGAGCGAATAGAGCTGTTGTTTAGTGTATAAACCCCATAGCTGGACATTCAAATACTTTTTGGGGAAAAAAAAACAAAACCTTTTGCATCTACAAGTGAGTTCGTGGAACAATTGTGATTACAGTGTTTGCTAAGACTCCAGGGAAATAATAAATCTTTTATGTTTCCTTATTTGTTTAACTGCCGAAAGCTATGTCTGCACTTAATGTGTTTAATTCCTTGTCTCTGGTAACGGACGCATTATCACTGAATCGTGACGGACCTGTTCCAATGCCCTCTGCCCTATTGTACTAACTGTGACCTTGGCTCCTTGTGCTGGGCGTCCGATCAGGGTTATCAACAGGCTGAGGATCATAGGAGTTAGAGAGTAGCAGTCTCTTTCCAGTTGTTCATTCTTCTCCAAGAGCTACTAAATGAATGTCTGTAAAACATGCCTGCAGATTGTTCTATAAAACGGGGCAATACATGGATTTTTACTGGGAGCGGTTACTAATTACCAACTGGTTTCCATTATTGTTGCTTATATTTACCATCTGGCTCGCAAACATACCGACCAGTCGCAGATTAGCCACCTGCTGGTAATGCACTGTGTAATGCTGTCACCTTGCCCCGAGCGTGCGCACTCCACCCTGTGATTGGCGACAATCTATACAATGCATTAAAAGGGGAGTTTGACAGATCTATAGAACGTCTAAAAGGAAATGATTTAAATGAAACCTACTATATTTAACATAAAGAATAATTGTATGTTTTATTTCATGTATTTGGTCTTTATTTTTATTATTTTGATATGCCTTAATATGCTTTACGGTTTCCATCCAATGCTATGTAGCCAAGGTGTATTTTTTTTATATAGAATCCACTATATGACAAAGTCGATGTTATTTATTTATTTGTAGGAGGCCAGATGATGTGTTAAGTTGTTTTGGTTAAAGGATCACTATAGTGTCAGGAAAACAAACCCGTTTTCCTGACACTGTCATCCTTGGGGGACCCTCACCCTCAGGGTCCCCCTCCTGTGGTGCCGGGTCCCACTTAACTTTATCCAGTGCCGGGCTCCCTCAGCGCTGGTGACCTCTCCTCCCCGCCGATGTCTGCTTCCGAGTGGAGCGGAATGCGCGTGCGTGGCAAGAGCCGCGTGTGCATTCTAACAGTCCATAGGAAAGCATTTCTCAATGCTTTCCTATGGATGTTCTGCACGCTGGATGCGAATTTTGCATTCAGCGTCGCAGGAACGCCTCTGGCGGATGTCAGGAAGACAGCTACTAGAGGTTGGATTAGCCCTGCTATGTAAACACAGCACTTTCTCTGAAACTGCTAAGTTTACATGTGAAGGGTTAAAACCTAAGGGATCTGGCACCCCGACCACTTCATTGAGCTGAAGTGGTCTGTGTGACTATAGTGTCCCTTTAATGGCAGAAGTATGAGTTTCACCGAGCCTGGAAATCTGTCAGACATTTGTCACTAAGTAGCGGTTCGTGGCTCCCTCTAAGAATAATGGGAGTCGTTAGCCTTTACTTAGTGACTGGCTTACAGCTGTAACTCACTGGCAGACCAATTGTAAGTGGGATTGCCTCAATGTTTTCATTTTGGGTTTTCCTTGACGCTGGATGTCGTTATGCAAAGTGTGAGGACCTCCAGCATCATTTCACAGAGTCAGACTTTGTGAAACTGCAGGAAGGGCCTGTAGTGGTTGTCTGGTAAATAGCCACTAGAGGCAGTCTTAACCCCCACAATGTAAGCATTGCAATTTCTCTAAAACGTCGTTAACATTGCAGGACTAAAGGGGATAGGAACACTGAAGTTTTGTGAATGCGTAGAATGTCCCATTTTCAGTGTATCTTTTGTTAATTCATTTATTTGTGAGTTTATTTTTTTCCCTTTAAAATTTAGGCTGTCTCTTACACCT